GTTTAGCTAAAGGTTTCTCATTTTTGTTGATTTTTGTTTTCGAAAACTGACCTTTGGTTTTATTGATTCCTTCTATTGCTTTTCTCTTCTCTATTTTGTTTCTCTTGAATATAATCTTTATTATTTCTTTCCCTCTCTCAGCTTTGGGTTTGTTTGTTCTTCTTCTAGTTCCTTAAGGTGTGAAATTGGGTTGTTGACATGATGTCTCTTTTAAATGGAGGTGTTTACAACCATAAATTTCCCACAGAACATTTCTTTTGCTGCCCCCCTATAGGATTTGGTATGTTGTGTTTTTTTAATTTTTAATTTTTATTTTTTAAAGATTTTTATTTATTTATTGATACAGAGAGAGGGGGAGAGAGGTGGGGGAGAGATGGAGAGAGAGGGAGAAAACAAGCACAGGCAGGGGGAATGGCAGGCGGGGGAGAAGCAGGCTCTCCTCTCAGCAAGAAGCCTGATGTGGGGCTCAGTCCCAGGATCCTGTTATCATGACCTGAGCTGAAGGCAGTGGCTTAACCAATTGAGCCACCCAGTGCTCCGGTATGTTGCGTTTTTATTTTCATTTATCTCAAAGTATTTTTTTGTGTCTCCTAGTGATTCCTTATTTGATCTACTGGTTGCTTAAAAGTATGTTGTTTAATGTCCAGGTGTTTGAGTTTTCCAGTTTTCCTTCTGGTATTGATTTCTAGCTTCATCCCATTTTGGTCAGAGAAGATACTTTGAATGATTTTGATTATTTTTTAAATTTTAAAATTGTTTTATTATGTGACATATGGTTTATTCTAGAGAATGTTCCAATGCATTTGAGAAGAATAGATACTCTGCCATTGGTGGATAGAGTGTTTTGTACTGTCTTTTAGGTCTAGATGGGTTTATAGTATTATTCAAGTCCTTTCTTTCCTTACTAATTTTCTGTCTATGTATTCTATCCATTATTGAAGCAGGCTGTTGAAGTTTCCAACTATTACTATATGCTGTATTTCTCCTTTCAATTATGTCACTGTGTTTGCCTCATATATTTTGAGACTTTGTTGATTCATGTGTATATGTTTATAATTTAAAAAATTAATACATTTTTATATTTATATATATTATATATAATATATATTATATATTATATACATAATAAATGTATAATTAACATAGTATTATATTAGTTTCAGGTGTACAGTATAATGATTCAACAATTCTATACATTATTCAGTGTTCATCATGATAAATATCCTCTTTTTTTTTTTTTAAAAGATTTTATTTATTTATTTGACAGACAGAGATCACAAGTAGGCAGAGAGGCAGGCAGAGAGAGAGAGGAAGGGAAGCAGGCTCCCTGCTGAGCAGAGAGCCCAATGTGGGGCTTGATCCCAGGACCCTGGGATCGTGACCTGAGTTGAAGGCAGAGGCTTTAACCTACTGAGCCACTCAAGTGCCCCAATAAATGTACTCTTAATACCCTTTATCCCTTTCACTAGTCCCTGCAACCACCTTCCTCCTGGCAACCACAGTTTATGCTCTGTATTTAAGAGTCTTTTTTCATCTCTTTTTTCTTTGTTTTGTTATTGAAATTCCACATATGGGTGAAGTTATATAGTATTTGTTTTGGTCCGTCTGAGTTATTTCACTTAGCATTGTATCCCCTAAGTCCATCCATGTTGTTGCAAATGGCAAAAATCTCATTCTTTTTCATGGCCGAATACTGTTCCATTGTATGTATACATCACATCTTCTTTATCCATTCAACTATCTATGCACACTTGGGTTGTTTCCATATCTTCTCTATTGTAAACAATACTGTAGTAAACATAGGGGTGCATATATCTTTTTGAATTAATGGTTTTGTATTCTTTGGGTAAATACCAAGTAGTGGAATTACTGGATCATATGGTAATTTTATTTTTATTTTGTTGAGAAACCTCTAAACTGTTTTCCATAGTTGCCACACCAGTTTGCATTCCCATGAACAGTGCATCAGGATTTCTTTTTCTCCATATCCTCACCACAGATATTTATAATTGTCATACCTTTGTGATGAGTTCACCCTTTGTCACTATAAAATGTCTTTTTCTCTGTCTCTTGCAACAGATTTTGATGTAAAATCCATTTGTCTCATATTAATATTGTAAACTGGGCTCCCTTTTGTTACTATTGGCATGTAATACCTTTTTCCTTCCTTTCAGTTTCAACCTGTGTTTTTTGGGTGTGAAATGAGTCTCTTATATATGGTTTATAGTTGTGTCATATTTAAAAAAAATTCATTCTATTAATAATTGTCTATTATTTTTTCAATTTTTTATTTAACTTCTAGTTAGTTAATATACAATGCAGTGTTGGTTTCAGGAGTAGAATTCAGTTATTCATCACTTATATACAACACCCAGTTGTATAAGTGCTCATCATATCAAGTGTCCTTCTTAATACCCATCACACATCTAGCCCTTCCCCCCACCTCCCTCTCTTACCTGTTTGTTTTCTATTTCTAAGACTCTCTTATAGTTTGTCTCCTCTCTTCCCCCCACCATATGTTCATCTGTTTTGTTTCTTAAATTCCACATATGAGTGAAATCATATGGTATTTGTCTTTCTCTGACTTATTTCATTTAGCATAACACATTCTAGTTCTATCCATGTTGTGAATGGCAAGATCTCACTCTTTTTGATGGTTGAATAATATTCCATCATATATATATATATATATATATATGTATATATATATGTGTATATATATATACACACACACACACCATACTTTTATCAATTTACCAGTTGATGGACATTTGGGCTCTTTACATACTTTGGCTATTGTTGATAATGCTGAATAGCTGTCTTTTAATTGATGAGTTTAACCCTTAACTTTTATAGTCATTATTTGTTATAAAGGACTTATTTCTGCCATTGTGCTATTTTTCTATGTGTCATGTCTTTTTTTGTTTCTCAAATTCCTCAAGTGCTGCCTTCTTTTGTGTTTGATTGATTTTTTCTAGTATACCATTTTGAGTCCCTCTTCATTAAAAATTTTTTTGAGTATAGTTGACACACAGTGTTACATTGGTTCAAGTATATTTATTTCTTTTTATGTATGGTTTTAGTTATTTTTTAGTGTCTACTATGGGAATTACAGTTAACATCATAAATTTATGAAAATTTTATTTGAATTGATACCAGCTAGCTTCAGTTGCATGCATTAACTCTATTCCTTTCTAGCTTTATCCTCTCCTTTATGTTGTTATTGTCACAAATTACATCTTTATGCATTGTGTACCCATTAACATAGATCTATAATTATTATTTAGTGCATGTCTTTTAAATGATATAGGAAATAAAAAGAGTTGTATATAAAAAAAGCAATAATACTAGGTTTTATATTATCCAGGTAGTTACCTTTATCAGTGATCTTTATTTCTTTGTATGGCTTTAACTTGCTGTCTATTATCCTTTAATTTCAGCCTAAAGTACTTCCATTAGCATTACTTACAGAGAACATCTACTACTAGTGAATTCCTTTAGCTTTTGTTTATCTGGGAATGTTGTAATCTCTTTTTCATTTTTGAAGCATTGTTTTGCTGAATACAGAATTCCTGGTTGTCATTTTTTTCCCCTTTCAGTTCTTTAAATATATATCTTCTTGTCATTTGGCCTTCCTCTTTTCTGATAAGAAAAAGGCCATTGATTTTTCTTGAGAATGCCTTGTATATGATGAATTGCTTATCTCTTGTTGCTTTCGAGATTCTTTGTCCTTCCACAAGTTGATAATAATGTGGTGTGGATTTCTTTGTTTGTCTCCTTAGAGTTTGTTGAGATTCTTGGATGTGTATAGTCATATCTTTTATCAAACTTAGGAAGCTTTTGGACAATATTTCTTCAAAAATTTTTTTTCTGCTCCTTTTTCTTTCGCTTCTCCTGGGACTCCCATAATGTATATACTGATATGTTGATGGTGTCCCATAGGTCTCTTAGGCCCTGTTCATTTTGCTTTGTTTTTATTTTTCTCCCCAGACTAGGCAATTATAATTGCTCTGTTTTAAGATGTGATGATTCTTTTTTTTTTGCTTGCTTATATTTGCTGTTGAGTGCCTCTCATGAAATTTTTGTTTTAACTTTTGTACTTTTTAGTTCCATAATTTCTACTTTGATCTTTTTAATAATTTCTCTTTGTTGATATTCCTTATTTGTTCATACATATTTTCCTAATTTACTTTGGTTCATTGTCCATGGCTTTCTTCAGCTCATTAAGCATATTTAAAGTAGTAAATTCAAGTATTTGCATACTAAGTTCAGTGTTGGGCTTTTTTAGGATGATTTCTGTCAATTTCTTTTTTTTCTATGAATGAGTAGTATTTTTCCATTTGTGTGCTTTATAATTTTCTTGTTGATATTTGGACATTTTGAATATTGTAGTGTAATTCTTGAAATAAAATTCTTCCTTATACACCAAGGATTGCTATTGTTACTTGATGAAGGCTGCAGTCGTTCGTTCATTTGTTTATTGATTTTTCCACATTGTTTTTGCGACTGTATTTCTTGTCATGTGTGGTCCCTGAAATCTGTATTCTGTTACCTCTGTGGTCAGCCACTGACCTGATAGATATTTCCTTACATACCTCGATACAGTGAAGGGAAAAAAATTTGAAAGGTTATTATGTCTCTGTGACTTCCTTCAGTTATGCAAGCAAAGCAACCTGATGGGTTGACTCAATGGCCAGGGCTCTGTGTTGGCCCTACAGTGAACTGCCATGTAGATCAAAACACAGACTTTTAGTTTTTAGAGAAGAAGGTCTTTAGTGTCTGCCCTGATGCCAGAAAGCTGCATCAGGAATTTAGGCTATTATCCCCATGGTTACTTTTGGCAGGGCTTATGGAATGTAGCTGCTATGTGTAATGCTGAAATTTACTAAAACTTAGTCTTTTCTTCATCAAGTACTCCCCTGGATGCTACAAGTGTTCAACTAGACTCCAGAGTTCTGAAATAGTTGTTTCTAACAAATTTTTGTTTTTGTTTTTACCAGCTTGTAGTTGTTTTGGTGGAGGGACTGATTCTAGAGCTTCGTACTCAGTCATCATCCATGATACCACTCCCTGCTGTGTTCATTTTTAAAAGTGTTCCTGTTCGGACAAAAAGTTTTATGGTCACCCATCGGTAAGTAAATGACAAGAGCAAGAAAAAGAGATGAAAAGAAGTTCTTATAGAAAGTATAAGCCATGAAGCTTATCAGTAAATATTTATTGACTGCTCAAAGAAGATAAGCTGTCAGATGAATGCTCCAGGTTTTTCTTAGTTTTAGTTCTATATAGCTTTTGCCTATTAGGAAGTTTTTATACAAGTCTAGCACAGTTTTTATAGTTTTTATAGTACAGTGAATGCCTTTGTTAGGATTGACCAATCACATTGATTTTTATAATGAGTTTGGATACTGAGTATTATAACATGTAAATTAAGAGGTGGAATCTTTGGAACAGCTGTATCTCTTGTTCCTGACATGGGTGCCATATTGTCTGTCTTTTTACTTGATCCTCTTCTCAAATCTGTAGGTGAGTTATGAGCAATTGCTTTATGGCTGTGTGCAGTCTATAGGCTGTATGTTATATAGGCCTGCTATAGACAATGCTCTTTAATTGGGCAGAAAAGTTGCCACACTGGCTTCCCTCCCATTTCAGAAAGCTGAATACATGATGTTACTGCAGCATTTTGTCAATGCCAGCTCAAGGAGCAAGATCCTGGGATTGAAAATCAAACTAGGGGCTCCAAATGGTGAGAACGACCACTGCATTTTGATTATTGAGTTTGAACATATTTATAATCATATGGAGGTGCTTTTTTGAACATGGATTAATATGTATTTACTCATTCTGGAAATTTACTAGACTTCACCCGATTTCTAGAGTCCCCATTAAAGTTTTTGGTAACTACTTGGAAAAGAATAATAGAGTACCTTTGGAAAAAATGCTTTCCATGAGAGATCTTACATTGTCTGCCTGGCTGACTGTTTCTCTATCTTGCATATATTCAGAATGCTACAAGTGATAGCAAATTTAATGCTTTTAAAATAGTGAATAAAAGTGGAAAAGTGAAAATGACTTGTTTACCTTTTTTTGTTCCGTATTTTAACATGCATAAATTAATGTTAGTGAACTTAAGTAAAATAATTTCCTATTTCTCTAGCCACATTTTGTGGTTGAATTTAAACTGTAGAAAGGGAGCTGATGGAACTACCATTAGAATATCAGCTGTATCTTATGAAAGGACTGCATATAGTATCTTGATAGTATTAAAACTTCTTTAAAATATTTTTAATTAGGGGCGCCTGGGTGGCTCAGTGGGTTAAAGCCTCTGCCTTTGGCTCAGGTCATGATCTCAGGGTCCTTCGATCGAGCCCCGCATCGGGCTCTCTGCTCAGCGGGAAGCCTGCTTCCTCCTCTTTCTCTCTGTCTACTTGAGATCTCTGCCTGTCAAATAAATAAATAAAATCTTTAAAAAAATATATTTTTAATTATAATTAAAATGTTTAAGTTTTAGTCATCTACAAAACAAAATAGTTTTAATCTTTTCCATAGTTTTCCATGTGATTTCAGTGTTGTGTATATTAGTATTGGTACTTGAGTTTAATATTACTTTTGCTAGCATTAAAATTGTTAACACCGTAGCTTTGTAATGCATATTTGAATATTTTAATTATGTTTCTATAAACAGCTTTGCTAATGTTATATTTTCAGTGAATATGATGGGCCTTCTGTTAGTGCTGGCATTTAAACAATCTTGCTTTCTATTTTCCTGTTACATATACAATGCAAAATATTCCCACCTGAGATTTCCCCAAAATTTCACTTGGGAAACAGAACAAATTTGAAGGATATTTTCTGTATGTTGCTCAAATCAAGCTTTGCTTTGAAGCAAGCCAAATGATGAAAACATAGTCCAACCTTCTTTCTAGCAAAATGCAATTACCTCTAAGGCCTATAGTAAAAAGACCAACTAATTGAGAACACTTGTCTTTGTTTTCAGTTAGCAAAAATTCTTAATAAGAATGTCCATTTTCTAAATACAAAAAGGTGTTTTTTTTTTTAATGAATTAAAAGTTGGGAGCCCTAAAAATTAAAGCATATGCAGGTTACTCTCTTTCTCAAGGGGACATATACTACTGCTGTGCTCGTGTGAAGTAATAATGAGACACCATAAGCAAACAGTAGATGATTCATGTCAGATGGTTCTTCAATAATGTTAGGGGGGAAAAAGCAGCTGATGTATGGGATATTGAAGGCAGATTAAGTTGTTAATGTATATTAGTATATTCTTAATTTCCTTTTAATTGAAAAAGACATATTGACTTTAATTAGAACCATTTCACAGGAACTGTCAATTAGCACATGTCAAACTAGTTAATTCAGAACAGAATTCTTTTAATTAGGGTCTGCTTTCCTTTAACTATGGGGCCAATGAAATCAGCCTTTCCTTATCTAGATTTTAAATGTCTCTAAGACATATAATACAAATGTAGACTCTTATCTATTATTAGAAGCCCATATGGATAACATTAAAATGATGATGCTGGCATTGTTCATGCAGCACAAATCAGAGTCCCTTTATGACTGTTAGAAAAAAAATGACTTTGAACAAAGACTATTTTAAATACCAGATTTATCCTACTTTAAAGAGACTACAAAATTTATGACATGCATGTTCACATTTAAAGTATTATTTAATACGTCTGCTCAAATAAATGGGCCTATTCAAACGTTTTGTGTGTTCTATCAGCCGAAGACACATAAAACATTGTCAAGCCATACAGCAACATTTTTTCCTTAAATGAACTGTAATCAAAAAGGGAAAACAGACTGAATGATTTTTTTTTGCACAACATAAAAATAGCATTGTTAACTTTCATTGCATCCAAAGATTTAATATGAGTAGTTGATATGGTGACTAAACTACTAGTGTGAGCTAATATGATCTTAGTAATCAGGCAGTGTAAAATCTGAAACTTGGCTTTTTCTTAATGTACTGTTATGGAATTGGAACATCTTAGTTACATTTGGCATGAGGATGAGCATGTACAGTGAGCTTGGTGGAGCCAGGCTGTATGGTGTTAACCTACAAAATAGGTATACTCAATATTAGAAGATTTTTTAAAAAAAGATTTATTTATTTATTTTAGAGAGAGAGAGTGCAGTGTGGGGCAGTGGCAGAGGGAGAGAATCTTCAAGCAGATTCCTTGCTGAGTATAGAGCCCAACACAGGGCTTGATCTCACCACCCATGAGATTGTGACTTGAGCCAAAACCAAGAGTTGATGCTTAACCCGACTGAGCCACCTAAGCTCCCCAAAAGAAGATTCTAAGTGGTGTATAAAGGAAAATTAATGTGAAATCTAGCTTACTTTATCATGTGAGATTTAACCACTATTTTTCTGAGAGTAAGCAAGGATTACAGGAATTAATAAAGCAGAATATTTAATAAGCTAATGTTTGGATTCCAAAGAGAATGTACACTCATATTTGTTCATTTGTGGTAGGTGCATTTAACTTAATGATAACCATATCTAAAGTGTGCTATAGTATAACTATCAGTAGGTGCATTTGTGGCAGTGAATTAAATGGAGAACTGTAGTAATCTGCTTTTGGTTAACAGGCCAGACAATAAGAGCAGTAAACCAAAAGGTGAAAAAAATGCAGCCAAAAAAACCCCTTTCCTTCCAGAGTTGATGTCTTTCTTCTGAACCGTTCTTAGAGGTACCTCAGCTCTCTGCTGTGTGTTTGAGTGACACAGCTTACATTTAGCAATTCCATATTTTATTTCAGTCTGTAGCTTCTAACTTTTTTTGGTGCCATATAGTCACTTGAGTCTGTGATTAAAGATAGTCCTCTTACCAGAAAAATGGGCATAGGCATACATGCACTCAATGTTCAGGGTGGGAAATTTTTTAAAAAAAGATTTTATTTGCTAATTTGACAGAGAAACAGTGACAGAGGGAACACAAGCAGGGGGAGTGGGAGAGGGAGAAGCAGGTGACCCACTGAGTTGGGAGCCCCACGCAGGTCTCAATCCCAGGACCCTGGGATCATTACCCGAGCTGAAGGCAGATGCCTAATGACTGAGCCACCCAGGTGCCCACGGGGTGGGAAATCTTAATAAAAAATAAATTGGTACAGCCTGTGAAGGATGAAACCTCAGTTGTAATTGACTACTTGTAGTGTCACAGGCACTGTGCTTGGTCTGGGAATGTAACAATGAGTAAGATGAGCTACCTTAACATCTGAGTAACTGTGACAAGTTATTTAAACATTTTCAGAAATTACTATGTGGTTCTTTGTTTTGTTTTTTTTTTAAGCTTTTTTACTTTCTGAACTGGTTAAAAATTGACCTATATTTACAAATCTTACACAAGTTTTAAATGTGACAAGATTGACAATTTTGCATAAAAATTGCCTGGAAAATATAGTTATTAAAAGAGTAGATGAGACTAATTTTATAAGTTTAATTCAACAGATTTTATTAATTATTTCCATCTTAATTATAATTCTATCTTGGTTAATAATCTTGGGTGATATTAAATAATACTACAATATTGGTCCATATTTTTCTGTTTATTCACTTAAATTATATAATTTATTATTATTTATGAAGAAGACATAAGGCATACTGATAAAATTTTTATGAGATGGTCTTATTTAAACTTTAAACTGTACAAATAATCTTGGGTGTGCTGGTAATTAATTTCTTGATTATCCATGAGTCACTTATCCATTCTGTGCCAGAGTTTAAATTTGAACACACTTTTGAGAAATATCAACACATCCAGAATCTGTTATTTCACTAGATACTCTTAATTCTTTGTATCGTCAGAGGGGTAATTTTTGGGGTATGTGAGCATGCACACATTTAATCTTATTTAAGGGTCTACTGTAGTGCTGCTGAATATATATGTATAAAGTATACTTACTTGGTGTGCTTTAGTCCCACTCTGCTCCTTGATTGTCTATAGCAGTTTAAATTGCTTTGTCTATTTCAGCATATGTGAAGTTGACCTTCGGTGCATTCATCAGTGACAAAAATTTTGACTTTGGAAATTTACAGGAGACATGAGCCTTAACTTGGTTTAATGATTTGAATGGTATAGATGGTGTAGATTTCATATATTGGTAAAAATAGGCAAAAATTATTCAGAGCATATGTTTGTGAATCAAAAAAATACCAATTTAACTCTGACTTTGCTAGCAGCATTTTAACAGATTATTTAAATTATTAGGAGCTATTATTTCAAATAGTTTTATGCAAATAGGAACATTATAGAAATCGCTGGAATGCTTTATGTAAAGGAAAGTAGTTTACAGATTAAAATTTTTAATTGTTGGATTTTGGGGCACCTGGGTGGCTCAGTGGGTTAAAGCCTCTGCTTTTGGCTCAGGTCATGATCTCAGGGTCGTGGGATCAAGCCCCACATTGGGCTCTCTGCTCAGCAGGGAGCCTGCTTCCCCCTCTCTCTCTGCCTACCTCTCTGCCTACTTGTGATCTCTCTGTCTAATAAATAAATAAAATATTTTAAAAAAATGTTTAATTGTTGGATTTTAAGAGTTAAATGGAAATTTTCTTAATTATTTTATCTACTTATAGATCCTTAATCAATATGGCATTGACTAAATGCACCACCCTGTATGTGGTATTTCTTTCTCCATATATATGTAACTATTCCCACCCCTACAACCTCTGGCATACACACATCTTTTCTATCTAATGATCAATGGTTGTTAACATATTAATTATATATTATATTATAATTTAGTAAATTTAATTTTTTATATCTTGAGTGAAAGCATATTCATGTATCTTTTGCAAAGTGACAGGGAAATATTTACATATGAATATATACATATATATATAGAGAGAGGAGAGTCACCTATTCTCCATTTGGTTCAGTACCGCCAAATATTTATTAAACACCTCTTATTTTCAGAAACAGTTAATATTAGGCATT